TTTCGGGGTTGCTGATGATGCTCTGATGTCGTGGATGTCCCGGAACCTGATCCTTGATGATGGCCGCAATAGTGCAGCACGCTCGTAAAACCAATGGGCAAATAGCCACTGGCGAAATGCCCAACTAAGAATGTTGTGTAATTACGTTGCGTTACGCACAGATAGGCGTTTGGACATCTAAAAGAAGGAAGGAGATGGTTCGGTCAGGACATTCCACCCTTCGATAATAACCTCCCAAGGCTGTTTTGACCGCTGTCAGTTAGAGAAATCATAATTAGGCCTTCGGTTCCTCAACCGCATCCGTATCTGTATCTGGGCGTGTGTTCTTTTTATTGTCTTAATGAACACACGAGTAAAATCTTATCCAGGACCATAGTTAGTCACTTAGGTGGATGATTTCTAATTTTCAGAAGGAGTGAGGCTGAGTAAATTATTCCCCAAGTTAAGCAATAATTGACGTTGTACCAATTGATGTCGATATAAACCAATATCAGTTACGAAATTGTTAGACCAAAGCACAGCATGTGACGTACTTTACCATATAGCATTGTATTAATAGAAAAAATCATTCATTTTGTTAAAACCAAATCACTCTGCTTCAATAACACTGACAATAAAGAAAATTCCCTTAAATGTAATCAGACAATACACAAATTGGAAAAAAAAATATTCAAAACCTCAACCAAAATCCACTTCCAGATCCCATATGATCCACTCCCGTGATGGAGACGCAATAACAACAATGCAGAGATAACATTTAAGCGAAATCGCTTTAAAATCAATTAACCGTAAAATCACTCGCCTATTTGCAACAACAATCGAAAATGTTCGGAGTTTGGGGATTTTACGAGGAGTACGAAAAGTCCCGCAGGCGCCGGGGAAATGGACAACAATCAAATATGGTGGCAATAACGTTAGCCCCGGATCTACCCAGCCACCCAGTACCTCCGCCCACGATAATCCAAATCCTGCAAACTGCAGATGCGAACCCGACAATATGTTGGCCATATCGTTCAACCCTTTCATTTTAATGCTGCACTTGACTCTTTCCGCGCCAAAAATGGACGTGCTGCCAGGTATTAACCTCCATTTAATGTTAAACAAAGCCGCGTTACACATGTGCGATGAACGAGTTGGCAAAATAAAAAAAATATATATATACATGCATATATACACAACGCACCCCATTCAGGGCGCCAAACATTTCGATTAACATACGCAAGCATGGGCTGAAAGAAAAGCGCGGCGGAAAAGTGAAAAGTGGAAGAAGTGACCGGTATGGAAAATGCAAAAAAAAATGGAAAAAAGTCCAGTTGGTGTACAAGTATAGAAAGCCAGCAAATTGAATTGCTGGCAAACAAGCATCTCCTGCATGTTGCGAGATAGGTAAAAAAAAAATATATCTAGAGGTATAAAAGAGGAATCTCTACAACTGTACTAATACCCTTTAACTTTTCATAACATATTTAACTTGTAAAGCAATTACAAGTTCAAAAAATTGTACTTTATGTTCTTAAATATATAAGAATATCGATATCGATAAGAATATCTTTATGTTAATATTATACAAAAGTATGTGGCTGTTTAAAGAATGCCAAAATCATTTAACCTTCTATAAAGAGAGTATGGAAAAAGCGGAAAACACATATAAGCGATATGTACATGCATTTATCTGAATATGCACACACATCATGTTTGTACATACATACATATATAAGGAACATGAGAATCATCATTAGTTCCATGGTCATCAGAATCGTTTTAAACAAAACGGACTAATTGAGCGCACGTTGGCCGTGTTGGTCCTTGAGTGGCTTACCAGGAAAATGAGGAGTGGGTGGTTGGTTTGTGGGTGGTTTAATGGCGATAACAAAAGGTGAGCCAAGGGCATTAGGTGTTTGGGTGTGAACTGGGTTATTAATGGGAAGCAGCCTTAAAAAGTAAAAAGAACCGAGATATATTGCACATAACAGCACTTGGCTTGTTACACCCGTTAGGATATAAGGGTATATTGCATTCGTTGAAAAGAAAATGTAACAAGTTGAACAAAGCGTTTCCGACCCTATAAAGTATATATATTCTCCATAACTAATAGCTCTGTCGGACCTTCCATTCGTCCTCTCGTCTTATGAACACTGACATCTCAGGAACTATAAGAACTATATACAAAGCTGGAATTATTTCAGCACCCTGCCACGGCCACAAACCACAAAAAACAAAAACCTTAAGAGCTGAAAAGTTGGGATTACATATGCAGTTCTAATAATGTGTACTGTAGCAGCCGCAAAAAAAATTACTAAATGAAGGTTATAAGGAATCACATATGCAGTGATGTCACCGTCAGTTATTAAACATGACTTGTTCTGACAAAATGTGGCGCTGGTAAAACTATTCACTGCATAAATTTCTGATAGAAAAATAATTATTTTAAAATTGGAAAAGACAGTTATGGGTACCTTATGGTTACCACGGTACTCGACTACAGCTCTTCTTTTTGTTTTCAATTGGCAAGTAGACCAGAGGATTTTCCATCCAATCTTACCCTAAACACGCATGCTATTAATGAAAATGGTTTCGTTGGCACATTTAAGACAGGCAGAAAAATCGCTTTTTGAGTAGTCAACTCGAAGGAATAAAAACGTCTGCTTTCCTCATGGCTTAAGATGCTTTGATGTATGTGTGTCGTTGTCAGTTTTTCCCCAACCCCTTCCAACCATCCATTCCCATATGTATCGCTCTGCTAAATCCGTCCTTGAATAATGATACCGTTGATAGCTGGGCTTATACACAGGCCCAAATGAGATATATATATATATATATATGCGACATAGCCGGGCCATTTATTTATTATGCCACAATATTCAATGACCCTTAATGGCATTTCGTAATAAAAATATTGGATTAGTTTGTTAGTCGGTGGGGGTGAACATAGACAACCATCAACCACCATCAAACAAGTCCAGGAATCGCCCAAAAACTGGCCACTCTTCATCACTTTATCAACTCAGCCCAAGCACATTACATATTCCATTAAACGGCTAATGAGCCCATTGTGCTTTTGGGCGAAATTCTGAAATTATGGGCAGGATGCGGTTCAGGTGGCAATAGGACATATCTATCTATAACATGGATTGATAAAAGAACTATCCGGAATTTTAGTTTCTATATAATAACAGGCCTTGTAGGAATCATATTGGTTAATTGACTTTTTTCTTTAGACATATTTATGAAACTTATTGAAACATTAAAAACCTTTGAACTGAATCTTCTTGGACAGCTGCTATGGCACGTTCTTTGGATGGGTATCTGGAACCAAGTTGAACCTGGAAACCGGATCCTTAATCCGAAGTCAAAGTCGATGTTTTGGGCCCTGGCATGCATGTGACATAATAAATATTAATGACAGCTGACCGACCAGCAAGAAGATCCGAACCGACCGCACGGTGGGTGGTGGCATACTGATGATAATGTGTGGTACTGCAGGAGAGCTGGAAAATTCAATGGTTGACTGGATGGTGGGTGGTGGGTAATGGGTGGTTCGCCGGCTGATCCTAATACTTTTGCTACTCTGCGTTGACGCTGACACACATTCGACATTTGACAGATAAATTGTGGCAATTGGACGAATGCCGGCACACCTACATTAGAGATGGCAAATAATGCCGATATATTTAAAGTACTAGTAGTGATCGATATTTTATATCACAAATATTTTGTATAACAAGAACTAACCTAGAGGTTACATAAAAACCAATATTCCAAAATCTAACAAATATGTATAGACATTATTTCGATTTATAGATACTATATCATCCGAGTATATTATTATCATTACTGTAAAAATGATTACAGTCCAAGGTAGTGAACCCTCGCTCTTAACTATCCAGTGGCCGCCAGCAGCGGTAACCCTCCAGAGCACAGGGGGATATGCCATTTCTACTTTGATATCATTTTTCATTTCTTCCCCTGTATTTCGCTTTTTTCGGGGGTTTGTGACATATGTGCGCTGTTTTTGGAGAAAGGCCAGTTTTCATTGCTAATAGTTTTACTTTTTTTCGGTGTGAGTTTACTATAAATAAACGTCTCTCGTAATCGACATATTCAAAAGTGAAAGACGAAGCAACCCACCCACTCATCATTGACCATCCCCCTGTTGGTCATTAGTTTAGAGTCCTGCGTGTTGACTTTCGTTAGAAGCCATGGCCCAGGGTCATTGTCAGGGCGATTTTTCAACTTCCACGAGATAAATGCGAGGTCATCTATCTATATTCAACGGAATAAGTCGACGAATTCATATGGAATCGCAGATCCAGGTGAACCATTTGTTCTTATAGGCCACTATCTTAAACGATTTATCCAGCTAACCACAATAAGAGAGCTTTACTTGAAATAAGCGGTAGACGCTCCTGTTGAATTTTTATATTATCAAATAAATTAAAAAGTGTTACAAATATAAGCCAAATTCTAAAAATATTTTTTATTTTTTCAATAACTTTTTATAATCTTTGTTTTATTTGAAGTACCTCAAAAGTTGGCTTTCCTCACTGTTCAGCCAAGAACCAATAATGTAAATTTGAAAACGGCAATACAAAAGCAAGACAGATTTATTTACAGACAACGGGCTTAAAGCCAATTTCAAGAGAATAAAAGAAACCCCAGCAAACAAAGTGAACTCCAAACAACCCCAGCCCCACCAAATTATATAGTGGAGGGGGTGGTGGTATAATGCGCGTGTATAAAGAATCAAAAATCTTGATTTTGATTTTAGATACTCCATCCCCAGGGGTAGAGTGGTGCTTTTCATTTCCATGGGTGGAGGTCAATGAGGAGGTTGGGTCACAAGTCAAGTGGCGCTTAGTATCCAAAGGCCGGAGACTCCCAAGTCCGGGGCTTCCTATGAATTCCACTTCAATGAATTGAAAAATTGCCTCGAACAAATTTGATGCGCTCCGTTTTTTTTTTTTTTCGACTGCTTTGCATTTTTTTTAGTACAACAAGTATTTGAGTTTTTGTGATACGCGAGATGTTCCAGATACAAGATTCAAAAAATAAAAAGTTGGTAAGGGAGAGCGTTCAAGAAAAAAATATATATAAAAAGTGGGGGTCTCACCGAACATGACATTTGACATTTGATAATGTCATTTGCCGCGTAATTGTTTTTGATTTGCTCCTCCGCTTTGCTTATTTAAATTTTCTTTGATTGCTTTTTTTGCGATAACTGGATATTAAAACGGAATGAAATAAGGACTCTCTTACATAATTATATTTATTTTGCTATTTATAACAAACATTTTTATATAATTATATACCCACACAACCGTTTGTTTATTGAAAATTACATTAAAATGTTATATAAAATTATATTATTTCCCACATTAACGTATTAAAATGGACAATTACTTTAAAAAGTATTTTATCTTCAAATATCCTTCAGTGTTTTTTTTTGTTTTCAAAATCGCTCTGTAATGAAACGTACATAAAAGTAGATTAGTTAAGAAGCGAATATTAAAGGCAATATTACACTATAATCTAACCTTGCCCTTATACTTTATAGATCAAATTTTTCATCACCAGAGTTGGGATCATCAACCAATTTATTGATATAACGCACTTCAATAAAGACGAGCTCCTTAAAATTCTTTGTGAGCGCTACCATTGTAGGATAGTCTATGGCCAAATAGCTATCTGGATAATTAGTTATTAAATCTGCCATATTCTTGAATTCGTTTATGTAAAAAAAATTTAAAAGGGAATTTCCTTTGACACTGCGGTCTTGGCAATAGACATATAGACGACATCCGACATTATGAAGTTTATAATGGGCAGTGGCCAGCCAAAATATATATAAAGATTCTTCTTTTATAAAAGTTAGGGATTTCTTGCCTTTTATATATTTTCCTTTGAACGGAGACTCTTGTTTCGGGATTACCCAATCATTTTCTTTTTGAACTTTAGCAAACATAAGAAAACATGCGGCATGTTCAGAAAAATAAAGATATTTGGATGGTAAATCCTCGTTTATAATAGTCCTGGGTATTGGTGCCGTATTGCAGGGCATTCTTGCCAATAAAGCGATAACACAAATGCAATAAATTTGTTTAGGTGGATAAGATTGGGGATAGAAAAGGATGATCATACGATCCGTTAGCCAAAGTTCCTCCAAGCGACGGCAATGATCGGTGAGAAAGTGGGACATTACCGAATTTGAATTCAATCCCATTTGACAACCCTTAATGGGACATACAAAATTGATTGGATATTTACCGTTCCTTTTTGGATAACGTCTGATTTCATCAGGTAACGGATTTATAGACAATGCATCAGGTCTGGGTAGTACACGACGTTGATAAAACTCCTTGAAAGAATCCAAATTAGGGGTACGCATCAGCAGACATGTATTTATGTTTGCTCGTTCCTCGGCATAACCCAATGGTTCATCGTAAACCAGACTAAGACGACTTTCGTGTTTTAAAGCCCACTTCATTAATTTTAGACAATCGATTCGATCTGTTATTACACTGCGACCTTTCTCCTGCTGATAATGTTCCACCACAGATATAGCAAAGCGACACCTTAGCAAACATCTTTTTTCGATGGGCCGATGTTCGGCAACGGCGCTATGCCAGAGTACTCGAAAATAGGAGGTAACCATTAGGTGAGCCATTTGCCATGTAAGGGATATTCTCTGCTGATCTGGCTTATTTGCCTGTTCTATATAATTCATAATCTCTTCATCAAGCTGATCATTTGTCACAACATCCAGCCTTCTATGATCTTTCAAAGTGAGAAGGTAGTGTGCCGGAAAAAAGCACTCGTTGACAAACCAATGGAAAAATAGACCATCGCGCAGTAAACGCTTCCAGTAGAAATGATCCAGATAATTGGATATCCTTAAATAACAATCAATAAGGCGTTTACCCTTCTTAACTTTTATTGTGGACAGTTGCCGTAGGATGGCTAGGGAAAAATCATCAATATCGATATAACTTCTGAAATCTGGTTTTTCTTTGGATATTTTCGTTGTATTAGGGTCAAACAAATATTTTTCCGTATCCCGTTTTAAATGTTCTTTTGGAACAGGTTCACCTTGATTTTCATAAAAGGTTTTCGATTCTTTAGCATCATAATATAGAGTACTAACTGTGTCTATAGATTTGGTAGAAGCGGAAGTGGGTTTAGTTGATGAGATGCAATAATTCCTTATACTATCAGTATCTAAATGTTCTTTTGGAACAGGTTCACCTTGATTTTCATAAAAGGTTTTCGATTCTTTAGCATCATAATATAGAGTACTAACTGTGTCTATAGATTTGGTAGAAGCGGAAGTGGGTTGAGTTGATGAGATGCAATAATTCCTTATACTATCAGTATCTAAATGTTCTTTTGGAACAGGTTCACCTTGATTTTCATAAAAGGTTTTCGATTCTTTAGCATCATAATATAGAGTACTAACTTTGTCTATAGATTTGGTAGAAGCGGAAGTGGGTTGAGTTGATGAGATGCAATAATTCTTTATACTATCAGTATCTAAATGTTCTTTTGGAACAGGTTCACCTTGATTTTCATAAAAGGTTTTCGATTCTTTAGCATCATAATATAGAGTACTAACTGTGTCTATAGATTTGGTAGAAGCGGAAGTGGATTGAGTTGATGAGATGCAATAATTCCTTATACTATCAGTATCTAAATCCTGTTCTATTGCGGATTTTTTATTAATTAATTGTTTTTGTTGGTTTTTTGTATATCGGGTCTTGCGATGCTCGATAAGAGGTAAATACTTGGCTTCTACAGGATCCTCTGGTAATACCAAATGATGTAACTTCTCTTGACTCTGCAATCTAATTCGATCCAGGAAAATATTCTTCAATCTCTGACCACGGTCAACAGGCTCTCGAGTTTCCTGAGTCGTCGTATTTAAGGAAATTTCAATTATAGGTTTTTCTTCATCAACTGGACAATCCCTTTTCCTTGCACATGGCATACATATGGGTATCACCGGTGATTGGCTTGGCACATTGAAAAGTAAACGAGTTTGTGAACGTTCTTCCTTTTTTGTCGCCTTTTTCTTAATATCATAGAGTTCATGAGGGGTAAATAATGCTATAAGACGAATTCGCTTATAAAGGCGTTCAGCCTTTATCCATTCCCTTTGCAGTTTTTTAGCATAAAAAAACTTGTAACTTCTTTTTTTCCACTTAGATTTTATATATGAGAATTTTCGTTGAAGTTCAGCGCTACGCAGTTTTTCCTTTTTGATTTTAAGTAAGGGATAAAGTGTCTTAGGCGGTATTTCATGATCTTTATACTTCGATTTAAATTTCTTTCTTCGTTTTATCTCTTTCTTATATCTTCTTACAAACAGGATGATTTCTTTTTGCCAATCCTCCAATTCTAGAAGACCTATGCGCATTTTATGTGTTTTAAATGAAAAATCCAAATTTGTTGATACTTACCTCTAGGTTTTGATATATACCACGGTGGCAGAGTACCTCTTTCGGGCTTAGTGCCCTTAGATTCCCCGACAAATTGTTGATAGAATTTCGACTGACTGGATGTGGTAGGCACATCATCATTATCAATAGGCGTACATGGTCGCGTGATAGGCGTCCTAGGTCTATGAATGATAATGAAATCCTTTTTCTGACATTCTTTTAGATTTCTACGGTCCTTGGTCATAGCCGCTTCAAGAATAGAAAAATCCGAGTATTCGTTCTCACAATCAGAAGAAATACTCAGTTTTTCAACTGAGTACATAAAAAAATACAAAATATTAACTGAATTAACTTTAAAGATTAAGTAATAAGTTACATTCTACTTTCTTCGCATGTGCAATTGTATTATAGCCACTGGGATTCCCTCGATCTTTCTTGATTTCTTCATTAGTTTCATTACGCACTGTGTTGGCTCGAAATTTTTCAATAAGGTCCATACCAAATTCACAATCCAAATCGGGTTCGGGTTCCGGTTCAGGATTCGTCTTCGATGTTACAAAATGGGATTGCTCCTTAGTATTGGTCAAACGTTTATTCTCTACAGAATCAATTTTATTAATTTTTTTTCTTTGCTAACTAAAACTTTGATTTTGCTATACTTTTTTTCTCACTCACTTGGATGAATGTGTTGTTTTGGTTCCTTGACACGTGGCTTGACAGTAATTGAGTATTTGGCGTGGCACACTTGATCTATATTAATCTGATTTCGGGGCCTCGATTTTGGAACGGCTCCAGTGATTGGTGGAAGCTTTTTTATGGCTTCCTCCACCTTTGATTTTTCACTTATTTTAAGGAAACGCTCCATTTGCATTACCAAACTATCCACTAAAATGAAGATGTCTTCGAGAAAAATACTTATTTGAATAGAGGCTATGTACGAGTACACAGGTTTAAAGATTAACTATATGTCTTTGTAGGACTCACAATTTACTTGACTTTTCTCGTTTTTGGCAATGAATTCGGGATATAGAAAAGGTGGATCGAAGCCCTGACCGTTGACCTTGGGTGGGGTGCATTTTCCTATTAAAATGGGTAATGGAGTGGCCCTCGAGGTGCGCTTCTTGGGATAGGGATACTTTGGCGGTAGAATTTTAAAAATGTTCTCATATTTTGGAGGACTTGACAAGTCCACCACATCCTCGGCCAAAATAGCAGCTTCTGTCGGCTGGTCATTAATATCCTTTTGATCCTCTTCAGCCATCTCCTTTAACGGATTTAGTGACAGAAAAGTTTATTGAAATTATTGAATTGTTGACAATTCAAGTTGAAAAAAATTCGAAAGAGTATATCCTTAGCTTTACCTTTATATTTAGTAACTTGAACGAGTTTACCTCGTCATTGCCGTCCTCGTCTTGAGTATTAAACTCATAGTTACTCTCGGCGCCAAGGTCGGGCTGTTGAGACTTAATACCTGGGTGATGGCTAATCAGGAGGTTTTGAAGTAATTCCTGCTCCTCAAAAAGCTTTTGAAGGTGATTTTCCAGCAGGTCATCCGGCATGGAGGCAGCTGCTCGCATCCGACTCTTATTGCGGTGCTTTGCTAGAGCTCGTGGTCTCTCGTTATTCGGCATTTTCCTTTGCAAAAAAACAAACATGAAAACACACTTGGTGCCACGCCTGCAATAATATATTTATATATATATATTTTATATATATAAATGTATTTGCATATTCATCGGTATTGGTGATTGGCCACGGGTCATAGGGTATTGGTTATTGCTTATCGATTGTTTCAATGGACAGGCGCAGTAGAGATCCGAAGGCGGTCCCCTATAGAAAGAGAGCTCTCAGTTTGGTTTTTTTTTGTTTTTTTATTATTCTACGTCTGCTCCGTTGTTGTAAATTTAATCAAACACCCAAAACGAGCACATATAGTACATCAGAATGTGCGCAGCAAAGAGTAGAGGAAAATTCAGAACAAAATTGAATTATATTGGCATCTTGGATACCCTTTAAAAATTATTATTTTTTTATAGAAAACAACATGAATAAATGTTTATTTTAACACCTATATGGATTCTGTTATTTTATATTCATTACCTTGCTTTTGTAAATTATATTTTATAATATCTAAAGTCATAAATATTTGAATCAAATTATAAGATTTCAATTTTTGACCATATAGAAAACCAAAATTATCAACAAATAAAGGGTATTTAAACAACAAACCACTGGGGTATAAGGGAAAAATGGGAGCCGAACCAGAATAAGATTGCTGCGAGAGATGAGAGCTATGTGAATAAAAGAGGGAGAACATAGCATGAAATTGGCAGTCGTTTCCTTTCCGCCCACTTTTGCCCCTTCCTCCATTTGCTACCTATTTTCTACAACCCACCCCCTTTGACTTTCATCTAGGTGCAAGGCACCACCCATAAACGGCCCAACTCCCCACCCGTTGGCAATAGTAAATTGCACTGCATTTTTTTTTAGTTTCCGTTTTCACTGGTCAGCCAGCCGATGTCGATTTTCACGCTGCAATCGCTGCGATGGTTTTCAACCTCTATATAATTTAAGAGAAAATCTTCCAAAATTTCTGTATATAGAAATGTATAAATTCATGATTTCCTAAAGCAATTAATAGTGATCCAAAAACTTGTGTATTTTTAAATTGTTTAAAATCAACCAGAAAGTATGCTTGCAATAAAATTAGTTGGTAATATTTCTACATAATTGATGCTGATGATGATTCCCTGTGGAGAATGCTTACTTAAGATTATCTTGTAGTTTTTCCCAATGCCACAATTTCCGGCTACCGCCGTTTGTCCCGCATTTATCCCTGCTTCATTTTCACTCAACTCATGTAGCGCCCCCGACTAATAACTAACATGGCTAGCTCAGCTCAAACTTGCCCTATCCCCTCAAAGCTCACTTTAACCCACTCCCTCTATGTGCAACATCAATTCTCCCTAGACGCTATCAAGCCCCACCCGACAAAGTTAGTTTACGACTAAAGTTTAACATATAAAAAAAATACCAAAAAAAAAAAACAAGGCAAAAAAAACGCAATCTGGAAAAAATCACCAAAAAAGAATATCCTAAAAATATGTGTGCAAAAAAAAATGGTGGAAGGGAGTCAAAAGCTAGTCAGAACCCACGCAGAGAATCATGCTAAAAAAAAACGAAAAAATTGGTAAGAAAAAGCGAGAGGAAAAAATTGGTTTGCAATGCATTTTTTCCACGCGAAGCTTTTCATTTGGCGCTGCCAGGCATTAGAGCAAAAATCAGCAGCATCTAGGGGCGGTGGTAAGAGAGTGGCGGCTTAGAAAGAAGGTCTAAAATACTAGATGGGGGGAGCAACAAAAAATATTGGTGAACTCTGTGCGCTTGTTGCTGCCACACATGTGGAAATTGTGCGCGTTTTGCAGTTTTTTAATTGACCAACAAATTTATTTGATTCGTTAGCAACGCGAATATTTTCTTCCACTGTCCTGACTTCCCCCTTTCGACCCCTATGCTATAACTTATATATTTAAATTATGTATCTGCATGCAGGGCGTTTTTTTTGAAGTCGTATTTATAAAGTGGAAGCATTAGTAGTAATATTGTTTTTGAAGCTTTACATTTGTAAGCAATGGATATTACTTCGTAAAACCAAACAAATTAGAATTGATTTAAGTTTTGAGAAAGTTATAGACAAAAATTCATTTAATCTCTCGCAAGACTAAACTCTTTGACAACGCTTTAAAGCTATGATACGCCCTGCTCTTAATGCCAATGTGCCCTGATGCCCAATGTTAAACCCCAACACGACAACATTTCCCGCTCCCGCACTCCACGTAAAATCGAGTCGCGTCTAATTGAAATTCAAAGCAAGCTGACCAAATATCCAGCACCCTAAAATCTGAAATCTAAAATCCAAAATCGCAGGGTCGAAAACCAAAACCCCCAAAAGCCCGGCACCGAGAACATGGATACAAAGATACGGACAGGATAGCAAGGAGCCGTTCTCTTGCTGTTTCTAAGGATTACATATTGGTAAACAGCGATTACAACAACAACCAAGTAAACGACAACTTATTGTGCTACAAATTGGTTTGTTTGCCCTGTCCACCGCCCACTTTTTGGTGGGGGTTATTTCGGGCTTGTTTGATTTGATTGTTGACTTTATTGGTCAACGCAACGGCGGCCTTTTGGGTGTTGTTCTTTGGCCTATATTGCCATTGCCATTGCCTCTGCCGTTGCCCCCACACTCCCAGCTTTTGTTGCTTTACGATATTTAATCTATGATTAAAATCAATTAAATGCTACACTTGACTTAATTTATTGTCGCCGGCGAAATCAGACAAGAGGTTTGTCGGTTTCCAAAAACAAGTAGCAGCTATATATATGTATATATATATGTATATAGTATCTCAAATAACCGATTCAAAACAAAATGGAATGAAATGCTCGTAAAAATCAAATCGGTCTCTCTGTTTCTATCTTATTAGTCAGATATCCAGATGCCAGCTGTCTCTTTCTATCAATAAAACTCTGGCAGCAAAAATCTACGAAAAAGTCGGAAACACTCTGTCGGTGGCTCGCTTGTTGTATTTTTGTAGGGAGGGGGGGCTCTGGTTTGGTTTTGGCTTGAATTTTGTTTTGTTGCCTTATCTTTATGGCTCGATCTGTAGTCTCGGTTTTTGTGTTATCCATTCCCTCACCCTCTCTATATGACTCTTTCTGTGGAGAACTGGAGAATTCTGGGTACTACCTACTCGTAGAGCTAATAATTGCTCATCGTAAAGAGAAACGTGGGTCGCCAAGGGAATCATATGTGGCAATATTAAGAAATTATGAGAGAATTTACTTCAAATTTACTTTTTACTTACTTTCTACAAAAATATTATCTATTATATTATAATAAATATATTATATAAAAATTACATAATTTATTTTTTTCTGGAAATACTTAACTGCGAAATTATCTGTGCTTTATTTATAAACTAAATTCCAGAACTTATCTACTTTTTAGCTAAAATACATATGCTTTCAAGTAGAGTGTTATTCAAATAGCCAGTTAAACGCTTTAAGGAGGGGCATTGGAGTTTGATGGAATTTTTGGATTTGCTTAACGCTAAGTTAAATTGATCAATGAACTCCAAAGTGACCTTGAATGCAACCAAATCAAAGACAGAAAAGTTAAACAAACAAATCCCTGGAAATCATCAATTAATACATACTCTCTTAGAAGAGAAAACTTAATAAAATCCCACAAAAAAAAAAAAAAACAGAAAAAATATGGGTAGAATATAGCAATGATGGGGAAATCGAAATCAAAAATTCCGTTTAATGATGCAATTGGAGTTTGATGAGTTGGAAAACTGAAGCGACAACCATTCATTCTATACGCTGATGGAACGCAATCAATGCAAGCTGAAATGGATGAGAGTCCTTTTCTGGCCGCCAGGTAAATTGCAACCAATAATAATGAATAATTGAAAATCCAATCAAACACCAAATGAAACCGGAGGCCAGTCGTCGTCGTCGGTTGGATGGTTGGTTTGATGGCCCATATCCCCATATCGCCATATCCATATCAACAAAATTCAGAGGAATGAGCCCAGGTCCTTTGGTTGCTGGTGGTGTTGATTTTGCCGGCTTTATCGAAGGACATTAGCAAACGGTCGTTGGGTTTTCGCCTGCAAATGCAATCAAACGCGTGGGGCTGGCAACGGCAGCAGCAACAGCAGTAACATACCCAACAGCAACAGAAACATGCACGGCAGCAGCAACAGAAGGATGAACCAAAGCAACCTGCATAGATGACACCCCAGGGACATGGCAAAAGTCAATGAATGGTAATAGGTGTCGACATGGCCTTCTCACTCATACATACCACCCATCCATTTGTACGCCCACCTTTGACCAGAGAATAAGAGGCGTGGCAGTAGCAACATCCAACGTGTGGCAACCTTTGTTGTTTTTGCTGATTGCCACTTTTCACAATGGATCGAATGCCAGAAAACTGGACTTTCGCAAAGGATGATGGAGAACGGTATTGGAATTTCGTTCAAAGAACCAAATAACAGTAGCATGCATTAATTGCCAGTTAAATCAAAACGGAAAGTAACTTTGGGTGTGTGTAAATAGAAAAATTGAATAGATATAATGACAATGAGGATTTTAATCTGGGCGTTTAAGTAACTAAATGACATTAATTACAAATCCGGATTTATTGTGTTATCCTTGAAAATCGATTGGTTATACATAGTCCTAATTGCAGCGGCAAGTCATTTAGTTACTGCACCTAAAAGAAGACAACGCATAATTTCGGCGGAAATTTGCTGCTCCTACAGGCACACACACACACACACAAACGCGAAGGGAAGTTGTCTATTCGGAAAATGAGCGCCTCTGGCAAATTGTCGAAAAATTTGGCCACCACAACATCCCCAACATTTTCAGGCAAGGGCCAAAATAGCAAGGACTCGTAGGACTAACCGAATATCCACTAGTTCACCGGCATGGACGAAAAATTTTAATTGATTTATGTTTATATTTGTGGAACATGTTGATGCCACACATCGCCACATTGCAGTCGGCGGAAAACGCTCGCGGTTGTCATTTTACTGCCAATTTTGCAAGGGGAAGGAAGGTAAGAGCAGCGATGTTCGCCGACAGACAAACCAAAACAAAAACAAACTCAACCACGTTAATTGAACAACATTTGACGGGCAAAACCGAAACCGAATCTACACAAACCCCCGTCACAGAAAAGCCCTGCATGCTCAATTTAAGGTGAATTTTCAGAGCGTTAGCTGCATATTTGCTTGTAATTATATATGTAATATAAATATACATTTTATATGTATATCTTTTGTCGATGCGAATATCGCAGGAAATCGGTTAGACAATATTGTGGAATAACGATATCGCCGTCGGCT